TACAACATTCCTTCCATGTATGCTTGCATGCCAGAAGAGGGCACCAGATCTCATTACAGATGGCTGTGAGCCACCATGTGGTTGCTGGGAATTGAACTCAGGACCTCTGGAAGAGCAGTCAGTGCTCTTAACCACTGAGCCATCTCTCCAGCCCCAAAGGGAGATTCTTCTAAGGAGCATGATGCAAGGTCATACATGAAAGCAAGTTCAAGGCTGAAGTGGGAAGTTCCAGTTCCCTCCATCCTGTCCACGTGGAGAGAACCACTCAGGACTTTGGAAAGTGTCCTCCCGTGGGACTAGAGACGCAGATCAGTTGATAGAGTGCTTGCCTAGCAACCATCAAGCCCTGGGCTCCATTCCCAGCACCACATAAACCAGGCAGCAAGAGGAACGAGAATTCGAAACCTTCCTTAGCTACATAGCAAGTTGGAGGACAGCCTGGGCTACATGGGACACAGAAAGGAAAAAAAAGAATGTTCCAACTCAACTAAGCTGACCCATTTCTCACGCACCCTTTGGCCCTTTCCTAGTCATGACAAGAATGTTCTCAGAGCGTATGTATCTCTTAAGAACCTTCTGGCAAGTTCTTGCTCTCGGGATGCTGAGTTGAAGCCAGAGCAGCTTGGATTTAGAGCTGCCTCTCAAGGCTCCTGAGTACTAAGCTCCAGTTATTTCTGAGTAACCCTGAGGGCCTTCCACTCTTGGATCCCTTCCAGCCTGGACGATTGTCCTGCCGGTCCCTTCCCTTTGCAGTCAGGCAAGTGCTGGTTTGAGAAAGGGGTTCTGGTTAAGTTATTTGCTCATAATATAGGGGGTCACCCCTACCTCACCCGATTCAGTCCTCCCTCAGGCAAAGTCCTTTGTTATCAGGGAACAGTTAGCCAGACGTCTCATGTGGGAACACCAGGGACAGAGTTAATAACGGTCTCTCTTATTAGCAGCCTGGCCTTCCATCCGTCACATCAGAAGTGACGCCGCACATACAGCGCCGATTGTGTGCACGGGGCAAGGCTCAGGAGAGCTCAAAGCCACTTAAATCTATCCAGCAGTGACTCCCTCAAGAACCCGAAATGTCCCCCAAACTAATAAACCCGACAAAGCACCGCCAGGGAAAATTCCTTGCGGATTTGAGATTTTCGCTCTCTTAATCTCCTAACTCAATAAAGCAAGCACTCCCTGCAACAAATTAAATACTTTTATGAAAGGAAGCCCTCCCCCACTTTCTTTGATGTTCGGTATGATTAGCCCCTTAACACCAGGGTCTGGGGATCTGTAGGAGATGCTATTCTTCACCCCCTTTTGTTGTCTTCTTATTCTACAGAGGCCCAGAATCCACTGCTACTTGCTGGCTCCTGGATTCTGGAAACTTTTGGGACTTCTGGCTTCCCTGAGGTGGGTCCCATTGTCTGTTAGCTGAGAGAAACACTGCCATTCTAGGGTGACAATGACCAAGGAGATCTGACTGGACACCTCTACTTTTGGGTTTTGTTATTGTTATTGCTATTTTGGGTTTCATTTGTTTTGTTTTGTTTCATTTTGTTGTTTGATGATTGTTAGTTGTTCTTTTTGTTTTGTTTTTTAACTGTTTTTTACAACAACATACCATGGTGTAGCCATAGCTGGCCTGGAACTCGCTATGGTGTTGACCAGGCTGTCCTTGAACTCACAGAGATCTGCCTGGCTTGCCTCTGGAGTGCTGGAATTGAAGGCATGGAACTGCTTGAAGCAGAGATTTTGGGTGCACACACTGCCCAAAGAGGGGAGAAGCAGTCCCTTTTTCCTCGGTCTTTGTAAGCTTTTTTCTTCTCTATTCACCCACCCTGACTAGAAGAGACTATGCCCAGGGCAGACTGGCTTCAACCCCCCTCCCCAAGAGGTGTCAAATGACAATACCCAAGGCAGGCTGTGGCCATTGAACTGTCCTTTCCCATCTTGTGGGCCCAGGACAGAGATATAGAGGTCCAGGCTCTGCAGATCCAACTCCAAAAGAATTGCTTCAGTCCTAGGTCTTTCCCTGGAGATCAAAACAAGTCCCTAGAAGTTGGAGTGTGGGAGAGGGGACGGGAATGGACAAGAGCCTTGGGAGCACAGGGCAAAGCACAGGGGACCTCAGACTGGAGGTCAGACAGGCCTGGGTGGCAGTGCAGCCTGGGCTTTCTAACCCTGGGCAAGCTGCTAGCACTTCTGACCTTCAGAATCCCATCTGCAAAGCCAGATTCCAGTTCTGCCCTCCTCAGGGTCACCATGGAGCTTGAATGCCGGTAAGCCTGCAGGCTCCTAGCATATTGGGGTTCAGTGGACTATGCGATGAGAAGAGGCTCCTGGGCTTGCAAGGGGGGACTGGGCCCCCAGCTGTGGGCTGCAGGTCAGTTCTCCCAAGACCAGCAGCACCGTCTTCCAGACACCCTTGCAGCAGAGGAGCCTAAAGATGTGGGAATAAAGCTCCTCCCTCTGCCCACCAACTGCCCAGGTCACAGAGGGAAATTCCGGGCTGTGGGTGTCACTGTCTCATGCCGACCTTGTCCTGGGCATAGCTGGGAGTTAATGCATGCATTTCCAACTGGAACATTGCCATCTCCAAGGGGCAAATGTGGGACTCAGGAGAGAGAGGCCACGTGAGCTGACACTAACAATTCAGGCTTTGCCGTAGTCCAAACTCCAGCTCCTGACAGACCTTACTCCTCAGCATCTAATTTCTCTCCAAGGAAATGAGTTGATGTCATCTTAATTTAATTATGCTTTGTTTTGTGTTTGAGACAGAGTCTTAGGTATTCCAGGCTGGCCTTGAACAAGCTATGCAACTGAGGATGACCCTGAACTTGTAATCCTCCTACCTCCATCTCCTCAGCGCTGGGGGTTCAGTTGGGGCTTCTACCCTCGGTTTGTGTGGTGCTGGGGATCAAGCCCAGGACCTCCTGAATGCCAGGCAAACTTTTTACCCACTGAGCCACAGCCACAGCTTGGATTTTAATTTAATAAAATCAAAGTGGTTTTTCCTATGTGGAGAAGTGGCTCAGCAGGTAAAGTGCTTGCCATTCAGGAGTGGTGACTAGATTTGGATCTCCAAGACCACGTAAAAGCCAGGGGAGTATGACATTTCACTTGTAGTTTCAGGACAGAGGAAGTAGAGCAAACTGGCTAACCACCCTAGCCAGACTAGTTGACCGGGGAAGTTCTGGATACAAGGGAGAGACCTTCTCTTAGACTATCAAGTGGAGAGCAATTGAAAAAAGAAAGATGCCTGATTATCAAGCTTGATACCCCTCCCCCCACACACACACAGATATGTGTGCCCCAAGACAGGAAAACATACTACATCATACACACACTCTACCCGGCAGAGGTTAAAAAAATTATTACTCGATAGGTAATAATTAAAGGCGCACAACTTTAGTCCCAGCATTTAGGAGGCAGAGACAGGTGGATCTCTGAGTTCCAGGTCAGACTGCTCTACAGAGCTAGTTCCAGGACAGCCAGGACTACCGAGAGAAACCCTCTCTTAAAAACAAAACAAAAACATTACCTATCTAGGAAAGAGGGGTATAACTGGAGCCACTGGAAGGCTGAGGAACAACACTCAGTCTGTCTCCTGTCTCTTAGGATCCCTCCCAGGCCCTCCTGCTGTTCCTGTCCCCCCCCACACACACACACCTTCTTGGGTTTTGGGAACACATGGGACTACTAATCTTTTCTGCTTGGTTCAGAGGTACCTCTATCCCTGTCACTGGGGCTATGACAGCACCAGTGTTGCTCAGACCTAACAGCTCCTGACTTCACCACGCAGCTTCCTACTAACATACATGGATTTCCTCCTCCTCCTCCTCCTCTGTGCATGGGGTTCTCTCTCTCTCTCTCTCTCTCTGACTGCCTGTATGGTGTATACGCATGTATGTGTGTTCATGTGGGTGTGTGATCAAGTACACACACACACACACACACACACACGTGCTTGCGTGCATGTGGTTGCCTGTGTGCACACACACACCGGAAGTTGACATCTGAAGTCTTCCTCCATCGCTCTCCATTCTATTTTTTTTTTCTTAAGCTCTTTCCAGAGCTCAGCTCACAGATTCCGGCTTTCTGGCTAGTCTAGCAGTCACTTGTCCTGTGAATCTCCTGTCTCTGCCTCCTGCGTGCTGGGATTACAGGTGACCACCACTCCTGCCCAGATTTCCTTGGTTTCTAGGAGTCCAAGCTTGGGTTCTCACATTTGCCGGGCGAGCATTGTACCCACTGCTAGCCCCTGGATTCCTTATACTTTCTTCTATGGCTCTACCTCTGCTTATCCAAACTGCTGTGAACGACAAGCCTAGACCCTTTCCCCGCCATTCCGATTTATGCCCCTTCTTCCTCCAGAAAGCCCCCCATCCCACTCCCCCTTATGCACCCCCCTGCACTACAGCCGACTGGTATTTTTCCCTTCCTTGGTTTTTAGTTTGAACCATTTGACATTAAAGAATATATATGGTGTCATGGGTCACTGTTCCATCTTTCTGCTTAGGTGCCCCCCTCTGTGTGTTAATATGTGTGCTTGTAAATATGTATGTGTATACGTGTGCGTAGGTGTGTATCTCAAGAGAAGAGGACAAAGCTCGTTCCTCAGGCTCTGCCCACTGTTTTTTAGAGAGACTCTCATGCTCTAGAACTTAGGCTAGGCTGACTGGCCATGGGCCCCTGAGATCAGCCTATCTCCACCCCCTGACTGGCACTGAGGTCACAGGAGCAGCATAGCATCGCTCCTGGCTTGTGCTGGGGACAGAGCTCAGGTCCTCGTGCCTCCATTGAGCACTTCCAGCTGAGCTAGCCCCTTGGTTCTTGATCTTCATTTATTTGGCAATACTTTTACTCCTTACTGTTTACAGTTCTAGACACCATAAATGGCAGAGAGGAAGGTGCTCGCTCGTAAATGGGGAGGATCCCTGACAGCACTCAAGCTGTGAGGTGCCATCTCCCACCAGCCTATACCCCAGACACGCCCCTCCATCCTGACCCCTTCTCACCTGGCTGACTCCTTCCATTCCATCTGGTCCCCATCATGCTGTAGAGTGTCCATCTCTGTGAAGAGGGTGGGGTTGGGAGCCTCATCTTCCTCCCCCAGGATGTCCTGCAGCTGCTCAGCAGCCGGAGACCCTGAAAAGTGAAGGAGTTGGGTGTGCTGAGTGTCCTGCAGAGGTCAGGAGATCACAAGGCCAACAAGAAGGGAGCAGGCATAGGGCAAGGAGGGAGGGTCACTCACTAAGACTCAGTCCACATTCTGGGCCAGACTGAACTCTTGTCCCTTTGCCCTGGATGCGGATGTAAGTCTTGGAGATAAGAAAGGATTTGGTCTGTGTTTACTTTGGGGTCTCATCAGTGCCAGTGAAGGCTGGGAAATAATGGAAGCCAGGGCAGCAGCAGGATCCAGGAACAGAAAAATGAAATGAGGACCAGCCTGATCCAGCTGCATTTGGCACAAAAGCCTCCAACCGTCTCTTGCTCCACTGGGTCCCAAGCCAGTCAGTGATGGTGAGAAGGCAGGGAAAGGCTGGGCTAGCATCCTCTGGGATTTTTCCTCACTGGCATTGTGGGCCTGATTCCTGGGCGTCCTGCCTCCTCACCAGCGGCCCTCTAGAAGTCACCTCCTGAATGTTCTCAGGTCCGTCTTTCCTCCTTCCCTCCCTCCCACTCCTTCCCTCTTCCTCTCGTGTAGTGACCCCCTACTCTGTGCCAGGCATCGTCCTTGGTACCAGAAAGTAAAGCCAAGAAGAAGACCCGTGTTTTTGCTTGCCAAGGTCGGGCTATGGCAGAGCCGGGTAATAAGCAAGTAAACAAACCCCTGGGCGACCACTGGAGAGAGTGCTGAGTGTCCTGGAAGAAGACAAACTTCCCAAGGGCGGCTGTAGGAAGCATGCTGGTCACAGAAGCCCGTCTGAGAAAGGCATTTGAATTGTGAGTGGAACACATCAGGATGAGCTGGGCTTGAGTGTGGTGGATGCCCTGTGTGGCTACAGCACAGGGAGCCAACGAGAGGGACGACGAGCTCAGAGGATGAGCAATGCCTTGGCTGAAGGCATCCCCGGGCTCCCGCCACCTCCTACCCCCTGTGTTGTCAAGGATACTTCTTCCTCACCAGCCCTTGATTCGGCCTCCCATCAACCGTCCCACAGACCTCCTGACATTTCCCTCTTCCTCCCAGTCTCTCATTGCCTCAGTTTCTCCCGCCTCTGACTTCTTCTACTCATCAGTAGATCTTCCGTTGTCACTATTTTCAAGGACTCTATTGACACCTAACCTCGTCCCTGTAACTTCCAGGCAGGCATTGACCTCATCTTCATCGCATGTGTCCTGAGTCCCAGAAGGTAGGGCCCACAGTGTGCCTCTGGTCCACGTGGACATGACTCTCACAGTCGCCACGTACCCAGGAAACCCCTGATCCAAGGCTTATCCTATAGATGGCCCTTATCGCCCGCACCAACCCCGGCATCCAGGCTCAGAGCCCACGGCCGAAAGGCGCTTGACTGTGGCAGCCTCCTGCTTGGCCTGTCAGTACCCCTCCTGTGCCCCTCAGTGTCACCCCAGACCTTCGTGCCTCTCCATAAGTTGCTTCAACTCCTACACACTTCTGTGGGAAGACAGCGTGCAGGTATGAAGTACGTTCGATTTCTTTCTGCTGGTCCATACGCTGCCACCAACTGCCCTTGGTCCAAAAGAGTCAGTCCTTCCTCCACTCACCCTCCCCAGTGTCTCCTTCCCCAGGCCCGCTGCCTCTGCTGCCTCAGGGCACCCCATCCATGCAGGCCTCCTAACATGCTCGTGCAATGGACTTCAGGAATCACAGAACTCTCTGCGCAGCACAGTCTATACAAGTTAGACAATTTGCCTAGCACAAGATGCCAGTGGCTTATGTGTGTGCGGGTCTGCAATGGACTTTGTTGATTCAAATTCATCTGATTTTGAAATTTTTTTGTTGTTTTAAACTTATTTCACTGGCTTTGAGTTAGAAGAAGAAGAAGAAGAAGAAGAAGAAGAAGAAGAAGAAGAAGAAGAAGAAGAAGAATCATTTCTGTAGGCATAGTGGCATATGGTGCAGGAGGATCTTTGTGAGTTTGAGGTCAGTCTTGTCTACACAGTGAATTCCAGGATAGCCAGGATTACAAAGAGAGATCTTATCTCAAAAAACTAACCAACCCCACCTCCCCCCCACCCCGCCGCCGCCAAAAAACCCAATAAACGAAAAACCTGATCATTAAGAAAACACATTTCCCACCTTCGAATTAGAAGGCAACCATGACTGCTTGATTCTGAGGAGATAAAACAGCTCCCCACAGGTTCAGAGGAGGATAACCACTGCTCTGTTTTGGTTTTGCCTTGCTGGGAACTGGACCCAGGGCCCATGTGTGCTGAGCAAGTTCTCCACCGCTGGGCTGCATGGCCGCAGCCTGATAAAAACCCTTCATGTATAGATTTGCTCTTGTACATCTCCAGCTGGAAAGCTTTGACTGCCTCTCCATTTCCTAAAGCTCGGGCCTGGTGATAGGGCTCAAACCACCCACAGCCTTCTGGACCTAGCCTGCCTCTGAGCCCAGTCACAGCAATTCCACCCCTTGGGCCTCTGTCCTCACAGTTCTTAAATCTGAAATCTTTCACACCCTTCAAGGCCGGGAAGAAGGTAAACAGAGAGATCCTGAGGAGATCTTAGATTAGAAAGCCTAGACAGGGTAGAGGTCTGTGCTGGAACCAGCCTGTCCGGGCAGTACCTGCTCCCTGGAACCGCTGAGGGCTGGAGTCTCCGGTGCTTGGTGCTGCCTCTGGCCCCAGCCTGTTTCCCTGCTGCTGGCTCCTTTGCGTATCCTCTTCCCCACACAAAAGCAAACTCACTTTTGCTCCAGTTTAAGCAGCAAGGGAGGCGGGGAGGAGGAGGGAAGGAAAGGGCTAGAGGGATGGAGGGAGACTGCCGCTAGAGAGAGAGGAATGAATGCAAAGAAACCAGAGACAAGGTGTGAGAATGCTGGGAAATCCTGGGACAAAAGAGCAAAAGAGGGAGAAAAGGCTGGGGAGGGGTGGGGGTGAGGAACCGGAGGTATAACGAGAGAGGAGCCTTAGCAATGGCGATGAAGCAGAAACCCTGTGCCCTACAGCAGCAGGGTGGTGGCGCCAAGGACTGTGAAAACACCAGAACTGCCCCTCCTTCCCCTCTCCCCACCCACCTGCCCGCCCGAGAGCCTTTCCGGACAGACCTGGAGGCTCCAGTAGAGCAGGGCGCCTCTTCTCAGGCCCCCTTATAAAGGCCGAGGCAGGGAGGTAGGATTTGTGCGCAAACCCCCAGGACCTCTTAAGATCTTAAGATTTTGGTGGCAAGAGCCAAGCAGGCCCTATTCTTTCTGCCGCAGCTGGGAGTTGGGTGGAGGTTGGGGTTGTTATGGGGGGTGTTTGCTGTGAGGTCCAGTGTTAAATGAAGATGGATTAGCTTCCTTCCCAACTTTAAGCCCAATTATGGGGCTTGCTGTTTGTGCCCACTACTGAGACAAAGTGCCAAATTGTCACTCACTGGACAGCAGGGACTGGCCATTTCGGGGTGTGTGTGAACCCCACCGGAGAATTACTTTGTTCTCTGAGGAACTCCTAATCTGGGTTTGGCTCAGCGAGTGCTTGCAATATACAAGGTCGAGCAGAGGTCACCAAGGCTCCCAGGCCTGCTACAAACTCATGTTCCTTAAGCCCCTGGCGTGGGTGAGGTGACCTGGGAATGCCTACTATCCCCCACCACACACTGGCCCATGCATGGGTCCTGACCACATGTTCATATTTTGGGCTAGAAGAGCCAGCAAGGCCTGTTTGAGGTGTGTGCAGTGCAGCCCAGGCCATCCTCGAGTTCACAAAGGATGGGCTTGAGGTCTGGAGCATCTGAGGTTACAATCCAGGGTGCTGCTGCCGCAGCCTCAAGGGAATGCTGGGGCTTGAACCCGGGGCCTCTGGTATGCTTCAATCCCCTGCTGTTTTTTGAGATTAGGTCTTGCTATGGAGCTTAGACTGGTCTCCAATTTTGCCGTTCTCCTCCATTGCACTCCCAAGTGCAGGGGTTGCAGGCATGCACCACTGCCTGGCTCTCATCATTCCCACTTAAAGAATCGGTCAGGTTCATGCAGAGCTTCAAGCAAACTCACCATCACCAAGACCCCAGCAGTTCTTTTTCTGGGGACTGTCCCCCCACCGAGCATCCTGGCTTCACAGATTACACTATACTGTGAGAGTGGTTGGCCCACCCTTCCTGAGTCCTCCTGGGTAGCAAATGGAGACTCTCTAAGCCAGGGACCGAGCGACCCATCACCTGAAGGAGGATTTCCAAAGATACTGGAGAGACGCCAGGCCTAGATTCATCTCCTGATGCTGCAAATTATTATCAGTAGCATAATGACAAAACCTTAACCTCCCTGAGCCTCAGTTTCCCTACTAAGTATGTAGAAATGATCACATCTACTTCTTTGAATTCTGGTGAGAATTACTGGGATAATACCAGTCATGTGGCCAGGTCCTCAAATGGTATCGCTACCATTGTGGCTAGTAGCTGTGATTCCTCCTTCCTATCACCAGTCACTAGCCCGCCCCACCCTGAACATCTCAGGAACCCAGACCTTTCCAGTGTCTAGCCCCACCTTCTCTCCAGGTCTTCCCTCCAGCCCACCCAAGACCTGGGTCTTCTATAAGGTACTGTGGGCCCACAAACACATAGTATGTCACAAACTAGCCTTGGCCCTCATCATGTGAAATGCCACAAGCAACGACATCTCTGGTCTATGACTACAAGAGGCACAGACTGGGGGCCCAAATATCGAAACGGACTCGGGCAAGCTAAGTATGGTAGCACACACCTGTAAATGCCATCTCTTGAGAACTCAAGGCCAGCCTCAACTATGCGATGAGTTTCAGGCTAGCCTGGTCTATAGGAGATCCTATCTCAAAAAAGGAAAGAGAGAGAGGAGAAGAGGAGGGGAGAAATAATATGAAGTAAGGAGGAACAGGAAAAGAAAGAGAGGAGAGGAAAAGGAGGAGGAAAAGTAGGGAGGAAGAGGAAGGGAGGGGTGAGGAGGGAGGAGAAGAAGGAAAAAGAGAGGGGAAAGGAGGAGGAAGGGGAGAGGAGGAAAAGAACAGAG